TTAAGCCACACTGGCATTAGCATGTACCTTCAATAATATACAACATTTTCCCCAAAAATCATGTTCTGAGGACAAGCAGAATCAGTTGAAGTGTGTCTAATCCAATATGGCAATGCCTACACGTCACAGAATCACAGAAAGGTTTGGTTTGGAAGGGACCCTCTAGTTCCAACCCCTCTGCCACAGACAGGGAATCTTCCAATCACCCATCACCTCTACTCTGTTCTTTCAAATTTAACCCCAATCTATGAGAAAAGAGGAAGAAATARCATCCAACCTCTCCCCCCACAACCAAAGATTCCAGTGCATCTCCAGACAAATAGAAGATAAAGAATCTTATTATTCCCAGTCCCTAGATTTATACACAGGTCAAAAAGGCTACAATACAGACTTCAGATGCTTGTACTTCCCTCATGGAAGGCTCTAGACATTGAAGGAACTCTGCATTTCCACTTCGGTCTTTACTTAAAGATTTCTCAGTTTGCTTTTCCCCCTGTCTTATACAAGACACAGAATTTAGAAAAAGCAAGAAAAAGGTCCAGAAATTCATTCTGTGATTAAAAATTCCAGCAGTTCCTGGCATAAAAGAGTTCTCRTCACACCTGTGCTCAAGAGGATGCAACTCATACAGCCCTGCCAGGTGAAAGTTACTGCATGTGGGCAACAGTCAGCTGCCTGTATTGGGGCTGGGCTGCTGGTCCTCASAGCACACCATGAAAGGCAGATCTACTCTGCAAAGCTCCCACAGAGACCCACAGATGAAAAAGAGAGAACTGTGCAGCTGAAAAAATAGATTTTTTTATTGCTTTGTGGCTCTATTAGCATTACTTTTGCAGACGTTTGCAGTTGCACACAGCTCTACACAGACATTTAGAAAACTAGATGAACAGATAAGATAATAAAATAAATATGCTATTTTGCAAAGTTTGTTTTTTTTTTTTTCAAACAGCTGCCAAAAAGCCCCACCCTTAAAGCTCCCAAACCCAATATTCTGGGAAAAGCATCATTTTCCATTATGCTCTGTTCTATTCTTTSTCCCCTCCAATTTGTAGCATTCTGCTGGAATCAGTAATGTAGAACATATGTTTGAGGTAAATTACACCCAAGAGAAATCTTGGAACTGTTACATTCAGTTTTATTACCCAAAGCATTAAGATAGTCTAGCACTACACTTATTATTTAACAGTTCCATCAAACAAGACACTGCTAAYGTACTTTTATATTATTATGCATGCAATAATTAGTACCATATTTCTTAAAACTCAATGGGTAATTTATGCACTGCATTTCAATTTTACTTAGTAGTCTCAGGATATTTTTCAGTGCTTCAATGAAACAAGGCGTTACATTAATGCAGAATGTTATTGTGCAAATATTTGGGAAAACATATGTTCAGACAACAGTAAGGTTGAGTATCCCACACTCAATAGCCAGGAAATTGGAAGGGCTTGTGCTTTTTATGCAATGTAAGCTTATGAAAGTGCTGCATCTTTACCATATTCTGCAGAGGGCTGTAACCTAGAGTGCCTTAGGGAAACCTAAGGCCAATGGGACAGACAGACCCTGTCTCTGAYGATTTTTTTTCTTTCCACTGCTGCAAATACTAGTCCAGCTTTACCAGGTAATACCAAATAGCACAAATATCTCCTGTGAACCTATGGCTGCCTCTTTGGAGGGAGATTTGCACCAGCTCTGTGAGGTAGTCACATAACTGGAGATTTCCTATAGCCACAGAAAAACATCATCAAGTATGCATTTAACAAGTAAAACAGGAATAAAAGATAACTCATATAAACCTGATTATTTGACTGATAATTTGATCTCAAAAGACAAGTCTTCTAAAGTTTTTAARAGGTTTCTCATTGTATTTCTCAAGTGACTCTATGGGAACAACAAATAAAACCAAGAAAAATGTACTTGTCAGGACTGTACAACTTCCATGTTTTGCAGAAAAGAAGAAAGCAAAAGGCTGAGGCAGCAGTTCAGAGCCACAGCTAAGATACGGCTTTTAATTTCAATTTACATCAACCACAGAGCCTTAGTACAGTGTTGGGTCCAAGCTAAAAACATCAGGCACTAGGTGTATCAGGAAGCAGAGCACAAAGTCCCCTCTGTTCAAAGACATGCAATCACTAATACCTCAAAATGTAATTTAATGATCTTCTGCTTCAAGTTCCAAAATGAGTCACAAAGCTGAGAGCACCACTCCACTTCATCAGCTGCAAACTGAGAGCCAGAGAAAGTTGCTTGCTGAATATCATGAGTCTCACTTACTTTATTAGTACTGCTTCCTCATGTGAAGAATAACTGAAGCTATATTGTTCTAGTTCTCTGTGGTGTTCTGTCTCTACAGTGAATGCAGCTACAGGTCATAGAAAATACACTGCATAATCATAAAACTGAAGACTGTGCTACAATGCACACAGGAGTCAAATGATGGTTACATGGGAAAATTATTTATTGGCATTTCTCAACTTTTAAGTGCTTGMATTTGCAACCTACGTATCATTACTTCTGTGTGCCTTTTTTTTTTATAGGCAACAATGAATTTTGCCATCTGTTGCTAAAACTCAAACTGTCCAACCATGGATTGCCAGCAGGGTTTGAAACTTCAACCAGGAGGTTGAGGAATGAGCCAGCAGGTGGAGTTTTCAAACGCACCCAATAACGGGCAGTTTTCTCTTCTGATACATCCCATTCCTATTACCCTAATGGAGAGGTGAAAATAAAAGACCMTGAACATGTTACTTAGTTCTGATCATGAATGAATAATTCTAAGGATTACTGAAATTTATTCTAGTGTAATTAACTTTTGTGGCCCTTTAAGAACATAGAGGATTTTCTTGTTTCTGACTTAGAAGTAAAATGAGGGCAGAATGCTGTAGGTCTGGAACATGATCTGTCCAGACTCATGGCGGTTGCTAACTTGAAGAGCTGTGTTGACTTCCTAAAAATATGCCAGCCTGCATCTGCTAAAAGGWATAGGCAGTCTGTAGTTCTTAGATRTTCTGCTAGAAGCACATGTCTCAGCATTATATCTGTGACTGTACAAAAAGGAGAAACCGGCACTGCTCTCTCTGACTTTCAGCCATGCTACAAGGGGAGTCCTCTGTCTTTGAAGGAAAGCTTGCGGATGCTCCTACAGTTCGGACTTGCTTTGCCTCTCAAGTAGCAAGCAGGCTGYCTAAAGTTCAGAGGACAGCAGGCTATAGAACACAGGGCTGGCAAAATAAAAATAATTGAGGAGTAGTTCTAAGGGTGGTCAAGTGTTAAYAGTCTTTCCAATTCAACTGTACTGCAAAATCAGCAAATTGCAAATTCAGCAAATTCCACTAGCACTGAGAAAGCAAATGGTTGGATAAATAAAGGCTTGAAAACTATCTATGGAGTATTCCTAGAAATTTTGTTTTATACTTTGCTGCCAAAGTGATGCTTATTTCTGGTCATGACAATAGATGTTGATTTTCCTTTGCCCTCTAACATGAATAATTCAAAAAGAATTAAATAATATGTAAAACCAAAAAATGCTGATGAACCAAAAAATTATGCAACCAATAAGTATGCAATGCCATCACTTACTTGTGCAGACTGAACACACCTGCTAAAACAGATACTGAAATATAAGGATGCTAAGACTCTGGCTTTGTGTTATGTATCATCACTAATAACCTAATAATCACCTAATAACAATGAGATTGGTCTAGAACTACCTGTACTGGGTCTCTTCTCAGCTTCTCTTTGGTACTTGACTGAAGTTTTAGAGACTTAAAATCTTCCCATATTTACATTAAGCACAATGAGGAGACACGGATAGAACTGTGATTTATAATACCCTTGATTATAGGAGAAAGGGAAAATATGAAAATGGACATTTAGAAATTACTACATTGCATCCACTACAAGATGCCACTGAAATTGTGAGGGAAGCACCATTTAGTGGACAACATGTGCAGTACATATTGAAAAACAGGAMAGCAAAAGCCTGCAAGAAGCCTGGAACACTGTGGGCACTGTGGCCAGGAGTATTAAAATAACACACAGTGCAAATATGACTGAGCAAGCCCATTCTTACCCTAAGTCTTTTATAACTTTTGCACTATTTTACACTCAAAGCAACAGCAGACTGGTAAGACCACACCTGTATTTTGAATTAGAAGTGTTCACAGGGAATAGTACCAGAATAACCAACAGCAGTATTATTCCACTTCCCTTGAGACTCCCCACTTAGGCCCATTCTTGGCAAAGGCTGTCAATTATAAATTCCTCTCAACATCTTGATTTATATTCATATGCTCCCCACCTGGTCAATCACCTGCTCAACATTAGAAAATACAGAGGAAACTGACAGCAGAAGGTGAGATCCCTTCTGCCATGCCAGGCCACAGTTGAGGCCTAGCACAGCTAGGCACACCTGAGCCACAGTTCATTCATTTCAAATTAAGTTTTTAACAATTACTTTTTCTAAAATGTGACACCAGCAACAAGAGGTYAGGGCTTTCCTGCTCTATGAGTGCTMATCTAAAAAAAGGCTTAGCATGCTRTTTTTGAAGGCTAATGTTCATGTTGTTTCAGCAAAAAGCTCAGTGTTGGTTTTAGACACATTTCTTCTTTTATGCCATACAAGCCAGCTCCTCGTATTCACAAAGCAACTGTGGTTCACTGAACATGTTTCCAGGATTAATTTTGACTTCCCAGGGTCAACTTTACACCAATCAATGAAAGAAATTGTGGAAAAGATTTCCTTATGAAAACACACAAACTTAGCCAACGTTTAACAAAAAGAACAACTTGTAGAGCTTTCATCAGACTCAGCACTCTTCAAGGACAGCCTGTCAGCATTTGGCATATATGAACACAGGAGATGGAACAAATCTACAGGAAATCCTTGTGCTTACTCATTTACTCTCAGCACCACAGACAAATCAAGCCATTTTTATACACTTCTCCTAGTTCACACGTTCCCAGACATCCAATTTCTCACCACACAAGCAGAATCTTACCTSTAATTTTCAGCAACAAAGGAGATGGCTCTGGTTCATCACAAATTGCCTTGACAAGGGCCTTTTTCACCTCTTTTTCAGCTGCGTCCAKCTCTTTTCCACATTTGATTTCTCCAACCACAGAATATATGTATACCAGCAAGACAAGGAAGTCCTCACAGGTATARTCATCTTTCGTCCTTTTGTTGTAAGACTTGATCATTGGCAGTAACTGGTTCAAAACACTGGGCATTTCTGACTCAYCAATGGTCTGAAAAATAGAAGGAAGATTGTGTCAGAGTGCCTCCATGGAGCTTGTCAGTTAGGATCAGAAATACTCCTGCCTGCACATCATCCAGTATTCACATTCTCAGYAGTCAGAACATGGTGTGATTTATTTGCTGCTAAGACAGTGAATTATTAGTCGTCTACAGTTTTTTTTCTTAGAGATTCATAATAGCAGCATCTTAGCATTTGAAAAGCTTGATGATTAGATCAAGTACCAGTATGATGAGAGGATGAAAGCATCCATCCCTTGGTATGGGTAGAAATGATACAAAGTACAAGGTCAAACACTTCCTCTGAATTTTAGGCTTCCTCCTTGGGTATGATTTGGTACTCCAGCACGGGGTTCAAAACCCAGCTGAACTTGCTGACATCCACCTCATGCAACACCAGGGCTGGGGTTTAGATCCATTGTGCAGGTCTCTGCCACTCAGAGCAGCACAGTGACAAATAGAACCGTCAAACTGACACCCTCTCTGCCCACAAACACCTGCGGATGAAACTTCTACGTGCTGATTTCCTGCTGTGGCTTATCTGGGAGCTCAGAAGGATCARGTGAGAAGTGGGGCCACTGCAAGGCACACAGGAGGAACACGCTGCTCTTGTGTGGGGAGTGGGGTGTTGGAGGAGAGAAGAACAGTCTTTCCTGGTCAGATTAATCCAAGAGGTCTCCTACAACATTGGTTCCCTGCCCTTGGTCCTGTTTCACCCTGTGAAAACCTGTGGGTCAGTTCACAGTGTACACTGAAACATTAAATCTCCTGTAATCCAAAGAGTCAAGTCTGCAAACATTTATTCTTAGTTGTTACTAGAGTAACCTCACACAGACTAGTCACAGTAAATAGRCATCACAGCCAAAATACACCCTCTAAATTGATTCACAATAAGTAAATAAAAAMCAAATCAAACATACTAGGAAGAGACACAGGTTTATACAATAGCAGAACTATRCAATAGCTTTAGGAACACAGAAACTGAAAGCTTTATCTCCTGAGGTACTCCATAGAAGACTTCAGAGGGTCTGTGGTTGTATTTTAGTTTAGTTGTTCTTTGTCAATCTCAAAAACACTAACAAGCATCTCATAAACTGTCATTTTTACACCAACACTGATCCACTAGAGAACTCAATCATTAAGAAAGCATGAATTACTTATGCTCCAAGAAAATTTTTTCCAGGTTGTGCTATAAGGAACTACATTTCTGTGGACTTTTGTACCCCACCCAGCTCTTCACATACAAGTTTTGCCACAGACCCATCTTTCCTGGGACTTCAGTGTGGTCAGATGTTATGTTTCCATTTGAATACATGCCTTAGAAAAGAATTTTCGACCTATCCACTAAACTTAACAGTAAGTGCAACTGCAGACTTGAAACAGTAAATTACAAAGCTGCAGTGGTCAAAAGCATGTGGGAGYCAAGAGGAAACATTTCAAAAACCAGGAGGGATTGGCACCCTCTGTGTTTGGGCACGGAGTGCTAAATCACATGCACAGTAAGTCCAGGCACTGCTCCACCCAGGAAGCAAACCTACGGTGTTTGACATGGGTCTGATAGCTGGGCCATCATCAAGACAAGGCTGTTAATTCCCAGATTTCAACTCAGCCCTGCCTCAGTTCAGTATTAGCTCTTCTCTTCTTGAAAAGTAACACAATTAAATTCTCATCTGGATGCCAGTAAAATAAATAACAGACCATTCATRTCCTAAGATGGAAAAAGACAAAGCTTCAAGGAATTCAGAGGTATGTATCTATCATAAAGAAGCCATCTGCAATGAACAAATGCCTAATCAGTCCTAAAAATCTAAGAAATCAAGATAAACCCACATGTGGAGTTATTCTGGAATGACRACAAACTTCAGTGTATATTAATCTGAATTCACTTTTATGGAGAGGCAACACCTATGCCAGGTATTATTGAACATCATCTACCATCTACTGGCACATCATCTATTCCCCTCCCAACACACAAACTCTACTTCACTCCATCTCTAAACATMCCATAACATGCTGCTATGCCAGCGAAGATGAGTTCTTGAAAAAGCTGTATTTTGCATGCATGGATGCACTGAGGGCATGGAGCACTGAGGATGTATATGGTTGCATAGATGAACAGTTCCTGCTTGGGGATAGTAGCTCCTGCAAGTACACATGCACAGCATCTTTGGCAAACTTTCAAACATACATGATAAAAAAAAATTGTCTAAACTTTCAGGGTGATTTACTATAGGGCAGGCTAAAACTCAACRACTTCAAGTAACAATTGCCACCTCTTATCTTCAAAGTAAAAATGAAAGAGGAAAAAAAATTAAAGAGCTGTAATAAACCATTAACTTCAGAATGCACGTAGGGTCTTTCTGGGGTATGAACTTCTCTGGAATGTTTTTCTCCTTATCTCTTGGGAAATGGCACCGCAGAGGACTTCAAATGGAACTGCCAAGTTTCAGAGGCTATTTTGTCCAAACAGGCCAGTTGGACTGGACCATGWATGAAAAAAAAGGGACTCGCAACCTTAGTGCAGAGCATGGCTCCACAGGGAGCAGGGAAATTTGCCTCAAACAAAATCCACTGGCAGATTGTCATTATCTGGCCACCTCCGATGATTTAGGGGCTCCCTGCACTGCCTAACAATCAATCAATTACCCTGATTGAACAGCCCTAAAACACAAGTTTTAAAAATGTAACTGCCCATGACCCAAATTTCCTGCTGGTTATGTTGGCCTCAAGTTAGCCCTATTTGTCTATCATCAAGGGAGCCAATAAAAATAATATAAAAACAGGTCAATTCTAAGCTTTGCAAAGGCTGTATAAAAACATTAATGCTCCTTAAGGCAGAGCCAGCTAAGAGGCCCAAGCTCAAACACTTTCTGCTCGGTTTCATTGTTTGGACATTTTAATGYTTTAATCGTATATTCTCCAGAATTCAGGGAGAGTTTGTGACACATTTTTGTTGTTTTCCTTCTCTTTCCTCCACCCTCCTTAGTTATYTATTTTTAGAATTTAAGCCACGTAATAATTTGATGTCCCTAAGGATAAATCAACTGATGTCAATTTGCTGATTTTTGCAAATGACTTGAATTTTGGCAGATGCGAGAACAGAGAAGAAAGTACAAACAAAACTTTGGGGGGGGTTTATACACAGACCAAGACATTCTGCTTCAAAATCTTATTTAAAATCTTGTTTATAAGATCTGCAGGAATTAGAAGGAAGTGAAATAACCCAAGAAAAAATACTTTGTAATTCTGTGAGAGGCATTATTTTTGGTATTAAAAAACCCTGTTACAATCTAAAGCCATATGCATCATTAGACWTATTTTACACAATAGAAAGCAGAGTGAATTTGGGAGGAAGAGAAGAGGAACATTAGAGTTTACTTGAATTAACACATATCCCTGACAAAACTGAGAACTGAGCACTCTAGTCCCTGTGCTTACAGCCCACTGTCATAAACTCCTCATTAAAAATATTAAAGCAAAAATCAACTTAAATCAAGTGGAGTTTATTTTCTTTTAAAATCCAGGAGGAAGAAGGAGATAAATCTTTAGAGACTACCTCACTATGTAAATATTCTAGTGGCTTTCCGTTTAGGAAATACGTTTAAGAGGTCACATGAGTTAAACAGAACATTTTGGAATGGGAACCASACAGGTCTTTACAGTGAAGAGTTTTATTGGAGAAAACCAAAACTAAAAAACAACCCCAAAACCCAGCTGCAGGTAAAACCAGCAGAAGAATAAGTGGAARCTCACAAGCTTTGAGTTTCCGTAAATTTGCTGCCCCATGCTCCTGGACTGGCCTATTTACTACCAGCTCCTTTTATTGATAACTTAGATGGGAAAAGAGATGTGGAATAAGCAGCTTTTAAATGTTGCCCTATTTGATTTTTCTTGTTTTACCTGGGTTTGACTTCTTATGATTTGTGATTTTGCCACATTGCATATTAACTTTCTCACTGTGCAGACAGAGGCAAGAACATTCCAGCTGCTAAAAGTGACAATGGCACCAAGGGAGGACCTCATGGGTGTGTTAAACTGGCTCAGATCCTTTGATGGCCACAGATCTCTGCAGCAATAGTCATCTCAGTGAAAACAACAGGCCCTGCCAAGCTAAGGAGGAGTCCTTGTTGCCTGCAGTGCTCAGCTGCCCATAAATCAAACGCTGCAGTTCTGCTACTCGCTGTTTTACATTGTTTGGCCATCTGAGATTTGGGGTTGATTGCACATAATTTCCATAWGGGTGGGAAGATGTCTGTACTGCCTGCAAAACAATTACTTCATGTATTTAGTTTTTATTAAATGGCCTATGGGTGACTAGTGGTTTGACACAATCAGTTAAGTATGATCTTACCATTCAAATTCTGSTTCACCATACAAAGCTGTAGAAATCATTACAATTATTGACTTAGGCAGGTTTTTATGAAAATGTACATCTGCTTTGTCTTCTATTTATGTATTTGTAGGGTATGAATSAAAAATAAGCAACCCAGAATACAACACAAAAAGACTACCACACTCTCACTATTAGGAAACACTTCAAGCTGTRTATGTCAAAATACAGAGCATCCAGTAATTCAGACAAGAGATTTTAGATAACCAGAATCCACAGTCTATAGATTTCCTTTCGCAAAAAGTAAAGTTTTAGTCTCAGACTTATGTTACCAGCTGGGGAGGGGCTGACAAAGCCTCTACACACAAGGAGAACGAGCAAACTTTGGCCTTAGGGGAAAGCGACAAAGCATTGAGTGAACTCACAGCAGACTGAGTGGAGGTGTAAAATGCTGGCAGTAAATGGCTGCTTCCAGTACAAAAAAAGTACAAGCCATTAAAGATCAGGAGAGAGATCAATCACCTTTTGTTGGGAACCTAAACAGCTTAATGACTTGTCTCTGCCAATACCAAGAGACTGCATCTTCCTCTCTTTAAAGGCACTGTCTTACCATTCACTTGATAAACGATACAGAAACCCACCAAAAATATGCATATAAAGGAA